CTTGGTATGAAAGATTGTCCAATTTCTTGATGGCAAATGATTACAAGAGGGGAACAGTAGACAAGACCTTGTTCATAAGAACCAGGGGAAACACTTGATTGTAGTACAAATTTATGTTGATGATATTTTATTTGGTGCTACTAATCAGGTTTTATGTGATGAATTTGCTAATCTTATGCAGAGTGAATTTGAAATGAGCATGATGGGAGAACTAGGATTCTTCCTAGGGCTGCAGATTAAGCAAATGGATGATGGAATAATGATCCATCAACAAAAGTACTTAAAAGAGTTGCTGAAAAAATTCGGCATGGAGAACAGCAAAGCTTATGATACACCTGTTCCCCCATCTACAAAATTAGATGCTGATCTTAAGGGAAAAGATGTTGAAGCTTCTCTTTATAGAGGAATGATAGGTTCTCTACTTTACCTAACAGCTAGTAGACCTGACATTGTGTTTTCTGTTGGTTTGTGTGCTAGGTTTCAAAGCAATCCAAAGGAATCTCACTTGAAGGCTGTTAGAAGGATACTTAGGTATCTTGTAGGAACAGCAAATCTGGGATTGTGGTACCCCAAAGGCAGTACCATTGATCTTATTGGATACACAGATGCAGATTATGCTGGTTTCTTAGTTGATAGAAAGAGCACATCAGGTATGGCACACTTTCTTGGCTCTTGTCTAATTTCATGGGGTTCTAAAAAGCAAAATTCAGTGGCCCTATCCACAGCAGAGTCTGAATATATAGCTGCAGCTTCATGCTGTTCCCAGCTACTGTGGATAAGGAACCAGCTGAAAGATTTTGGTGTTATTTATAAAAGTGTTCCTATTTTTTGTGATAACACTAGTGCAATCAATATTTCAAAGAATCCTGTGCAACACTCCAAGACAAAACACATTGAAATAAGACACCATTTTTTAAGAGACAATGTGGAAAAAGGATTGGTGGAGATGTTGTTTTGTAAAAGTGAAGATCAAATTGCTGATATCTTCACAAAGCCTTTGTGTAGAGAGTCTTTTTGTAGGTTAAGAGTCCTTTTAGGTCTAGTTAGATTTTAGGTATTGGCTTCAATTACTTCCTTCAATGATTGGTTAGAATGGTATTCTCTTGTATAGTGTGTGTACATACTTATGTTGATATCTTTCAAGTGTTGTGTAGATGGTTCAAAATCTCAAAAGGATTGAGAATCATTGTTGTAAGAAACAGGTGAAATCAGGCTGAATTGCCAGAAACAGCGTGACATGGTTCTATACAGGTACCAGCAAAGGGAAACAGCAGACCAGCTCTGATATGTCATCCGATAATATCTTTTATTTTCGGAAGATTACTATAAGATATTTCCTTTTGGAAGGAATTTATCTTATTTCAGTTATTTAATCCCATATAAAAGGCAAACATATCATATGCCTTATTTATAGTTGGTTGAGATAATTATGGTAAAAGATAATTACCAAATTTTTGATTTCAATTTAAAAATATCCTTTACAGTTGCTTTTTATTGGCTCAACTAACTCTTTTCTTTCCTTCTTCTCTCTTTGTGCTTCATTGTTAAAAATATACACTAACCCTTTGTGCAGATCATCAATCATCATCACTCGAAATTCTCTCTCTCTCTCTCGTATGCTTTAAATTCATCATTGTTCATTTGGTTACTGTTCACTCAAGGAACCAGCTCAGTCTCAGGGGGAACATCAGATGGAAGCATAAGTGTCCTTAAGCCCGAAGTTGGAGGAAATTCAGAAAATTCAGAGTGAAGAGGATGAAATAGAGATTGTTGGTTATTATGAGGAAACACCCATTGCTAAGACCATGGTACGAAGTAGAGTAACTCAATTAAAGAAGTTCACTGAGAAGGTGCAGGAGGAACAGTCCATTGACGCTGTTCCAGGAACCAAGAGAAAAAGGGTACCAGCAAGAACCTCCTTGCTTGATTGATGTGATGCTAGTTTTGCACTCGTTATGCAACAAGGAGAACAGTTTTGCACTCGTTATGCAACAAGGAGAACATTCTGAATCAGTACATATCTCTCATGCTTTCTTTAAAAAAAAAAAAAAAAAAAAAAAAAAAAAAAAAAAAAAAAAAAAAAAATAGAGGAACCAGCAGGTCAGGAAGTGGTTTTGAAACAGATTGGGGAATCACAAGAATATGCTTAGTAATATAATGATTTTGGTTTAAGCAGAGCATGGTGACAAGGATGAAGAGGAATCAGATGATAATACAGAAGATGTTGCAAAGTTCGAGGAGGAGGAAGGGAACGAGAATGATGATGAGGAGTGATGCTGTTTCTGTTCTTGTTTTCCTCATCCTCATGTTTATTCTTAAATAACTGATTTTGTTGGTCTGTCTACTTCTCTCCATTCCATGAACTTTCTTTTTGGATGGATTTGGGCTTCTTTGGTTGAACTTTGTTGGCTTGTATGAACTACTAACTCTGCTATGGTATGAACTGTTTGACTAATCTCTTTTTGCAGCATAATGCTTGAATGGTGGTTGATGCCATTGTATGGATAAGCACATTAACTTGTGCACATTGCTTTTACTTGTGGATACTTTTTAATGATGCCAAAAGGGGGAAGTAGTCTGAAGTTGAAGCCTAAGGTTTAGCTAGTTTAGATTGAGTCAGTTTGAGTCTTTTTATTTCGTATTTTCTATTTTCTGTTTAGGGAACCAGTTGGCCTAACTGACTTGTTCCAAAGAGTTTTGAGTCCTTGAAGTTTTTGACGGTTTTTCTTTTTGAGCATGTCCACAGGTTCAGGAACTTCAAAAGTTTGTCATCATCAAAAAGGGGGAATTTGTTGAGTCCCTTAGGTTTTGATTGATAGTTTTGAATGATGACAAACAGCTAAGGGAAACAGGTCCTTGAAAGTGTTCGATACAGTTGGGGAACCAGCTAACATAGAACACTGTTTCCCCAGACAAGTTATTACTTACATGAGTTTTCTTATTGAACTAACTTGTCTTTATACAGGGAACAGTTATATGATAAAAGTGTTATGTACTGGTAGGGAACCAGTATGTACTGTTTCCATGGTTGCTACGTGGTAAAGCAGTCACATACTCTTTATTGTGCATTAACCATGTTACATGTGCAGTAGTTGAGTTGATTCCAAGACTTGGAGCATAGAAGCCTTTCGAAGATATTTCGAAGAAAGATTGTTTGCTCATAATAGAAGTATTCAAGGAAGATTCAAGTCTTGAAGATTACATGAAGAAAAGACGATTTATGCTTTAATATGTTATCTAGGTTTTCATGTAATATGCTCCGTAGTATGCTTGCATGTTTGGGTTATATAAGTGCTTAAAAATATATTGAAGTATGATATGAAATCTGGTACAAAGTTGGAACAGGTTTCATAACATGTTTCAATTCAGGGAACCAGGTCGGGGAACCAGGTTCACTGTATTCGAGCTGCCGTTTTGGAAAAAGATTTTACAAAAAGATTTTTTCGAAAAGATTATTTTGAAAATATTTTGTGCAGCTGGAAATAAGATGAAATATTCTTGGTTACCTAAAAACTAGGAGTATTTATCTTAATTGATTCTATCTTTGTGATTAAATCAAATAAGATAAAAACTTTCCTAAAATTACATTATATCTTATTCTCTAAGATTGTGTGATTTAAGGAAACTAGGTTTTAGGAATCTAAGCTTATATAAACTCATCTTATTTCACATATTTCGTGTGCCTCTCCAGAAATTAAAAGAGCAATTATTTGAGAGCATATACTTAAGCACTAATCCCATTCATCAAGTCATATACAAGAGCATTCTAGTACTTAAATATTTTCTCTTAATTAGCTTCGTAGAAGTGAGATCAAAGGGGAGTTCTTGATTCTTGTATTGAGTCTTTAACAAAGGGGTTAAAGGCTGGGTGAGTGTTTGTGAGTTCAAACACATTGGGCTTACGAGTGTAAGTCAAGAGCACACTCGGAGTAGAGTGTGGGGTTTGCTGGTTCCCGGAGTAGGGAAACAGCAGAGTGTTCTTTGTCTTTGTTTTTCGGAGTAGATTAATAAAGAACTTAGGATAGGAGGACGTAGGCCTGAGTTGGCTGAACCTCGTTAAATTTGTTGTGTTCTTTATTGCTTTGTTTCGTTAAATTTGTTGTCTTCTTTATTGCTTATTTATATTCCGCTGCGTACGGGAACCAGCACAACTGGTTCCTCACACATAATCCGAAAAGAAGCAAAATTAGCCAACGATTACTTAACACTCAATTCACCCCCCCCCCCTCTTGAGTGCCCATTGAACCTTCATTACTGAACTGAAATTATTTTCTTAATATTTATTTTTTTTAAGATGAAGTGAACAGAGCCTAACTAAACACGTTATGATGAAGCAAGAACAACCAGGGTAATAAGAATGGCTATATATAATTCCACACTTTTCTCGCGTATGAAAATTAGTCCAAACTCGAAAGATAGTACTCGTATTTTTTTTTTCCCTACAAGATTTTAAATGGACCGACAAAAGAAAAATGAGGGAGTACGTAATCTTACCTTTTACCTATAATATAGGCTTGAGTATATAAAATAATGGTTTCTTTTAATAAAAGTAAAACGGAGTACATTTTTTTGGAGGGAATGGAGTATTTTGGAAGTAAAATTGTTTACAAATGTTTATATAAATTACACTAATAGATTAAATAGCATATTTCAATCATCACTTCATGAAACCAAAATTATTCCACCATCCAAATTACATACAATTCAAATAACATGTTAGATATGTAACTAAGTCGTCTTCAACCCCTCAAAGAAATGGACTCATGAATATTCGCCATGGCGGTGAGATTGCTTGGTGGCTGATGAGGCTTCAAGCTTTCAATTGTACTCTACTCTAACTGTGAACCCATGAAGGAAATCAAGCAGGCAATTTTTTTTGTAAAGAACAGCAATAATAAGTGGCATAAATTTCGATTCAACTGAACAGAAGTATGCTGATTTGCAGACTCTTCTTTAGAGCTTTCACACACACTAATTCAAATCACAGTATAATTAGGTGATGAATTACAAACAGGGGGAAACCGGCTCTTCTCAAATAAATCAGGTAGATTTACAGGCATACAGAACTCAAGTAAAGATCGAGCCTCGTGTGTGTCCAAAGGCTATTTACAAAGGCCATAAGTAATGAAGACCAACAAATGTTAGTGTTACAATGTTACAATCACACTATACAAATAATTTTACAAAATGGATTGCGAGACTAAATTAGAGTTGCCAGGGAGAGGATGCAGATCACAATTACCACATAAACACTGAAATCAATAAATACAGCACGGATAGTCTGGTGAGCCACTAGTCCTCGCTCCAACAACGTCTCTGCTCTTTCCCAATTAACTCCACCTCCCTTCGAAACCCCTGCATCTTCTTCAGAGGCTTCATATCTTCGTCTTTTGAAAGTAAGGTATGCAATTATGACAGTGATTTCTGTCACTAACAGCAAGTATAGCGGCCTTAAAGCAATGATGCTTTTTGAGTTTACAATGTTGACTCCAAGTAAAGGATAATCAATGAAAGATAGAACCACTAATAGAGCTATTGAAACAGAACAGATGATACGGGTACTTTCTGAGGCTATGATGCAGGAACTTAGTTCCTTTGCACTAAACAAAAGGGGCCGCTGGGGGCCTTGTTTTGGTCTTGAATCTTTGTCCTTACCAGGGAGCCTGCCTTCAACAATGGAAGCAACTCGTAATTCCTGTTCCATATTCAAAGATTCTCGCCTCAAAGCATCCCCAATTGTATTGTCTTTCGTCAGGCCTAAACCATGAGTGTCATCAATTTATTTGATTCATAGTATGTAACTACATTTACAGATAAATTGAAACAGGAAATAAGGAGCTATTTTAGAAGATATGCTCAAATGACTGAAATTGATAATCTTCAGCATTCTTTGTTTAACGCCAAGGAATTGAGCAAAAAGCAAAATAAAACAGCAGAAAGATGCAAGTTAAAAGTTGAAAAATAAAGATGAAGATATTATTTTCTTTACAGCATTTTTGTACAGAATACGATCAATGTACATGCATATATAGCAGCCACAACATAGATTTTGACGTCCGAAATGAAGTAAAAGTATTGGTCATTCATTCGCACTTTTAGTACTTCACAACTTTCTTTACCCTGTTCATAACTAGCCTTACTGTATTCACCTTGAGAACTTTAGTTCAGACAAGCTAGTGACAACAAGTTCAGGCCTGTAAGGTTCATATAAGTGCTAATGTGTTTTCAGAGCTAAAAATAAATTCAAATGATTTGCACTATTCAGCTCACCTTATTTCCATTTATTTCAAGAAAGTTAAGTTTATATAAGCGTTAATAAGTTTAGATAAGTTAAGATCGATATTATAAGTTCAAGAAAAACAAGTTCATCTAAGATCTAATAAGCATTAATAAGGGCTACCAAAGTTCAATCTATGACTAAAATAAGTTATAATAAAGTAATAAGTTTAAACTAGTTTGGGTAAGTTCAGATTAATTACGTGAATAAAACGCACCCTAAATTCAGATTAGGGGGATTATGGTGAAAAGAAAAAAGTCTTAGTTTCATTCTTACTCAACCAACCCTATAAAGGTCATGCACATGCTGCATTCAGATTCAGCATGGAGAAAGCTATTGATGTACTTAACCAAGTACGTCTTACCACGTACAACTACTGAGATTCAGGCATGCTTAAATGTGCAATTCAAGGCAGAGTGCAAATGTACATGAGAGGAAGTTGATAAGTATATTTACTAGTTGAAGCTAGATCATTGAAAAGTGTCGAAGGCCAAAGCCAGCTAATTGGAAGATGAGTAAACCACAGGCAAAAGCAAGCTCTCCAAAAGCCAAATAATCACATATAATACAAGTCTCAGGTATTATCTCAGATTCTCAGATCTCAACAAATTAAAGCTGAGGCAAGCATAACAATCTATAGTCTGCAGATGAGGCCGACTTAACTCGAGCATACATAGAGTATAAGCCATAAGGACAGAAAGGGTTTAACAACTCGAGCAAGAAGTCAGCTTAACATGATCTTGTAAACTTTTGTTGTTCTACAGTCTATGAAAACTCTACAATCTCCAATGCAGGCAATCTTAGCCTCTCTATTCGACTAATCTTTTGTTCGAACTCTTAGTGTAGAGCAACTATGAAAGCAACATGATCATGTATCTGTATTGATCAATTCCCACATCTATCAATTGAAATTACACAGAACAAGCGGTGATAGTTGTCGAATTCCATCTACTTCTAGAAGTTCAGTCAAGTATACCCTTAGAAACATTGTATGCTTTACCATGCATTACCATCCAAATCAATGTATAAAGTAAATTAAACACCATTCAAGATTTCCCATTTTATGTTATTTTTAGATTTAATGATCCCAAGCATTACCAAAATATTTCATTGCTCTTGCACTTTCTAAGACTCTCAATTCTTCAATGCGAAATTGGCAAAAATGGTGGGGGGAAAAAAAAGGTATTCCAATACACAAAAATTCCATCCAGAAAAATAAAATAAAAAATTAATTATGTACAGAATTGTTTAAACAGGAGCTATAATTCAAAGGAAATTAAACTAATTGATGTTAGAATCCTAAACATTATCATTTCTGCAAGCAGTCAAACACCCAAAATTTCATAAAGACAAAGTAATTCTGAAACTATTTTTCAAAACAAAGTTTATTAACAAGCTCAATATCAGAAACCCAGAAAATGGTCCGATTAGATGAATTAAAAACAATATACGAAGCACATATAAGTAGCTAAAAAAACCAAAAAGATTGAAAATTTAAAGAGTGAAATTACAGCTTTAATGAAATATTGAAAATTAATGAAGAAGAAGGATGAAGGGTTTACCGTTGGGTTGAAGGGGATGATCACATAGATCATGTTTGCCAGTTCCGTTTTCTTCCATAAAATTTTTTTTACCAAATTAAAATTGTTGTAAGAATCTTGGGTGGCCAGCTTAGTAGTTAGGACATAATGGTCAATGATCTTTCATTCTTTCGTTTTTATATTGATAATTTATATTGATAATTTATCCATCAAAACATAGGAAGAAATCTCATAAGGGTAATGGTTCTACCACACTTGTTCTACACCAAAGGGCGTTAAACGAGCTAAATTATGAGCTACAACATTACCGTCCCGTTTAACATGGCACCAAGCGATAGAATTAAATGAAGTACAAGAAGATAAAATATCATCTTAAATTTTTTTGAAGATTGAAATAATGTGTCTTTGGTAACATAAAAACCCGACTTATTTGTTAAACTCGTGTCATTAGACAAAAAATAAAATCTAGAGTACTTATTTTGTGTTTGAATCGTGTTATCTACTCTAACGGAATTGAACATTACAGTCTTTAAAGGTGACATTGGTCAGGCTGGGCCATGGTACAGCACGGCCCAACACGAAAATAGCATTGGGCCATGGTATATATTTTGTCATACAAAACGACAAACACTCTAAAATAAGTGAAATTTTTAAACACACAAGTCCGACATGATATGATGACATGTTGGCTTGAACCGTGACTAGGGCCACCTTTTATATTTTTCTGCAAAGCTAATTGATTTATAGTTGCAGTGTGTTTGAAATATAGAGCACCAAAAAAAAAACAGTGTGTTTGGATAGAAAACTGACAAGGACAAAAAGGGGTGGAGAGGAAAGGGGTAGAAAGGAAAGGGGAGAAGAGGGAAGGGAAGAATGAAAAATTTTCCTTTCAAATCTCTCCATTAAGAGAGATTAATTTCTTATCATTTAATCTCTTTATTTCTCTCCCCTTCAATTCCTTCCCTTCTGCTTTTGTTATTCAAATGAAAGACTCCATCACTTCATTTCCCTTTTCTTCTTTTCCATCAATCCAAACAAAGAGTTTAATTCCGCTTTTATTATACAAATAAAAGACTCCATCACTTTATTTTCCATCCCTTCTTTTCCATCAATCCTAACAAAGAGTTTATCATGATTTTTTTTCTCGAAAAAAAGAGTTAATCATTAGTTTGCACATGGAAGAGTTAGGGATCATTTTGTAGGCCACAAGGCTGTAGAAAAAAGCTGGCCTACGATGGTTTAAATTGGGCCAAGACTAGTAGGCCAACAAGGCAACAACTTAAGTAGATAAATGCACTATTCAAGCAGAGGCACTATACTATCAAAAATGGCTAGACCTTTTCGAAATAGGCCAATTCCAAACAAATAAATATCTACTATACTATCAAGTCAAGTTGAAAAAATACATTAATAGATTAATTTTTGTAGTGTGAACAGAGATATTTTTTTCAAAATGGGTATAATGCAATATTTGTGAAACTTCCTTAAAAAGCAAGTGGTGTAATATTTTTTTTTTTTTGGTTCATATGAGCCACTAGGGCGGGGAGGTGTAATATTAATAGAACGGAAAAAGTAAAACATATTTCGTAAAACTTATTATATTTAGTTGAAATTTTCTTGGAATTTTCCTTAATTGATATATTTTGTATGACAACCATAGTTGCATCCATTTTTAAATTGTAAATTATTCCATTGAATAATGATTTAAGATCTACAGCTTCAACATACAATAATTATATTCACTAAATTTATTTTTTAATTAGGAGTCCGTAAAAATTAATACGAATCAATACATATTCGTCTCAACGAGTCAAAATAATTTTAGTCTATGCGTGAAAATACTAAATTGTCATATATATATATATATATATATATATATATATATATATATATATATATATATACTAGGTTAAATTCCGTGCCATGCACGGTAATTTTCAATAACTACTCTATAATTATTAACACTATATTTAATTATAAAAAAAAAATTATTTAAGTTACTACTTTGTAAAATGAATTAATTATGAAAGAGTCTATTATTAGCAAAATAGATAATTTAAAATACACATATATGTATATTTATATATATTTCACTAACTAATTTATATCATTTCTTCTTTTAACTAAATGAATATCTTACAACTATGTATCTAATTTTCTTTTTACACACTATTAATCCATTTCCTCTTACGCGATATTTATTTTTCTTCTCAATAATCAACTGGCTTAGAAAAAAATTCATATCTTTCCTAGCAAGCTTTTCAAACATAATTAAATACAAAAATATTTTTAAAAAAAAATAATCCTTGTTGTAAAAATGGTAAGAGTAGTATATAGCACTATGTATTTCACAAATTATGTTAAGAATTTGATTTTCATGTTTTTTAACTTTAGCTTATGGTATCAATATATATAGTGGAAGGATACATTAAATCTTTTTAATCTTCTATTTATATATAAAATTTATTTCCTAAATAGTGTTTTTTTTTTTTTTGGACACACCAGAAAATAACACGTGTCATTATTGATGTATCTTTTAGTATATAGTTATTAATATAAGTGAACACGATCAAAGTTGGTGCGTGTAATATAAATGTGTTGCATGGATGGGGATCAAGAATAATATGGTAAGGAGTAAGTAGCATGATGAATGGTGGCGAGTTGATGATGGATTAATACATGAGGCATGAAAAACAACAAGCATCCAAGGATGCTGATATAAGGATGCCAAACTTAACGATCTTTGGTGGTTTTCTTGCCTTGTTATATAAAACATGATGATACTAGATGATGTTATTGATGTAGCTATATTTATCAAAAAAATTAGTACATAAAAAAAATAGATGATGTAATATAGGATTAGAAGGGGGACAGAGGGATTTGACTTTTTGTTGAGCAACAATTTTTAATTTTAGGAAAATTTTAAGATATGAAAACTTAGTCACAGATAACAAGAATTCTATCAAACCATTAAGTTGGGGAAACGAGAATTGAATTTTGATGTCATGGATGAATGAAAGGTGTGAGCTTTACCATTGACTTTTATGTACTTAAATCTTATTTGCATAATTTGAGTGCAAATTTTTAATGATCTTGAATTCAATCTATGTTTATATCAAGTGTGTACTAAATTTTCTTTCAAAAAAAAAAAAGAGTGTGTACTAAATCATTTTTATTTTTTTTATTTTTTTTTTGAGAAAATACTAAATCATTTTTATGACTACTATACCAATGTTAATTTTCCAAACCTTGAAAAATAAGTTGTCATATATATGTATTAGTATGTAGTATATGTACCACCCAAAAAAAAAAGGCTTAAGTAATCATCAAATATAAGAAAAAATTAATACGAAGTAGTAAATTAAAGGTATTCCTTTCATTTTTAAAATTTCTCCCTATTTTGACTTTTAAAAATTCCCTGGTATTATTCTTTCCATTCCTTGGTTACCTTTGACTTAATTAAAAACAAAATATATATGAAAGTTGATCAAAGTCTGAGTTGGTAGTGTGAAGCAACTTTACAATCCAATGAATTTCCAAAAATTGATCTGAATGACAAAAGATGAATTGATAAGGCTAGCTCCAATCGAAAAGAACCGCACGTAGACTAAGAAGACATATAAATATGGCTTCTTTAATGATGGATCACTTTTAATTTCGTAAATTTTCTTTTCATACTTGGTGGTGAATCGAAAGTTATAAATGGTTTATCCATATTGGCTCGTTGAATCGCGAAATGAAGTAACATTACATCAGATTATTTGTCACTTTATGCGTATATATTGCCTTAAGTAAGTTATAACATACTTAATATATTATTATTTTATTCTAATTTAAGGTACGATCTTAGTTCGTTAATAAAAATGACTATCCATCGATCAATACATAAAAAGAAACCCTATTCGTCTAAATCATAATAATATAATTTATTACTCCATTTTTTTTTATTTAGAACATTATCGTAATATAATTTCAAATACAAATAGACGTAATTACATAAAAATCCCAATTACTCCAATTGAAAACTTAAAATAAAATCCAATTATGTGAGCCAAAATTAATTCAATGCTACTAGTTTTAGCTCCTACCCATAATGACGTAATGCAAACATAACATACCAACTTTAGTATATTTCACAAATTTAGTACAAACTCATTAAATAGCCAATGGAGTAACTTTCCTTAATATTGCATTTATACTCTAACAAATTAAAAGATCTTAGAGGATCATATCTTTGAGAATATATATGGTAACAACTCTTTCCTGATTCCATATTCAGGTGGATTTAGCCATTAAAAACGTTTATTTCATAAGAGCATTGATACAAATATCTTATGTTACCATTTTTTTTTTTTTCTTTTGAAAATATAATATCATATTTTACCTTGGAAAGCTCCTTAAGAAATCAATATAATAGCAATCCAATTCCTTGTATATATTGCCATCAAATTCTACTTCCCCATGTAAAATCATAGCAAGTATTGGTAAATTAGAGAGCCAAAATATACAAAAAAAAAATGTCTAAGAAACGCCAAAAATCCCTTCAAGATTACCTCTCAAAGATCAAAAAACAAACTCCACACCTCCAATTTTCTCATAGTTCCCTTTCCTCCACCACTAGAAAGATCGTGGCGGGCCTCTCGTTCACTGGCAAGGACCGACGAAAAAATCATCATGATTAACAACACCACGATGAGGAGGTGGCCACGGCGGCCACCTTGGAGGACATTGATAATTTTCTTATTGAAAATTTCAAGTCATTGTATGGTCAAGGTCTTGATAACCATATTGATGATGGTCATGAGTCAACAAATGAAGGGCAAAATGGGGAAAACACTTCTCAAGAGTATCAACTTGACCAAAAAGAAGATATTAGCAATCTCGAGGGATTAGGGAGACTCTTTTCACTCCCCCTCGTGATCTCTGTGGGTCCCAACGTTTTTTTTTCACCTCTTCCTCCTCAAGTTCATTAACTGAGGAGACGAGGATGAATGGTTTGGGAGGGCCCTTGTCCTCCTTAGAGGACGAGGGATCCCCCTTAACACCCAAAAGGGACACCCACATTAAGGATGGCACGTCCGCCATCCCAGGAGGAATAGAAGATTGTATCGCGCTTCCAACGGTGTCACCAAG